CTTCCAGAGAGGTTCCATGACTGGGCTAGACGTCTTATAAGTAACTACTATAGGCAAGAAAAGTTTAATACTGACAAAATAGAACGCGCCGTTCTTAGATTCTGCTTCAGGCACCGATCAGTACTTAGCAAATTCACCTTCCCTAATGATTCAGGAATTAAGCGCCTTGTCAGCAAGCTATTCTCATAAAAAGCATTTTCTCACAATTACATATATTGATTGTTCGTACCACGGCTTAACTCCTCTTCTTTCTCATCTCTCTCAGTCTGTTTACTCTCTCACTGATTTCTCTTTCTTTCGCATATTCATCTTGCAAATTAGTTACACAACTGTTCAGAATATAGCGGGTAGGAGGCTGTACTGACGATTCCCGTTTCTACCCGTATCATAGTTCACTCTGCGTTTACAGCTAAGGGATGAAACACAGAGACTGCATCGTTAAATGTCTTCTTACACATGACACTAAGTCCAATCCCTCTATTCTACTGTTCCAGGTCGATAAAGACCTGAACTTTTACAAACTAACGTTGCAATTTTGAAAAATATACTGTATTTTCCTTCTGGAGTAGTTGAAATTTGAGTTTATTAGCAGTGGATGCTTTTGTGCTTGCTGGAGAGGACTTAAACGGTCCTTATATTACGTTGCGCACTTGCATAAGAGTTGGCTTACTCCACGCTGTGGGACAGTCGTAACTGCAAAAGAAAAATACCGTAGAAGTTCAAGTGTGATACAAATGGAAGTTCAAAATTCTGGATTTTACTGTACCTGCAAGCTAATCACATGTGAAACCTGAAAATTGGCTTATCATTAAAGTAAATTACCGTTTTTTCTTCATAACATACAGTTTTAATGAATAAGTGTTATTTGAGAACATTCCGAAGCTAAAGCGTTCCGTTGAGAACATCAAGGATCCGCTGTTCCGTTTCTTCGAACGAGAAGTTAATCACGGCATCCATTTGTTGGCGGATGTAAGAAGTGACTTAATGGAGGTGAGATACCCTTTCAAAACTTCGTGAAAAAATTCGGAAAAAAAGCTTAAAATCAGACGGATTTTTATGCAAAATGAACCAGGAATTGACTGCTTCTAGATCTGTACAAAATGCATAAATGATAACCGTGCATGTTATGCATTTTTTTTTGCTCGACACGTTGGTGATAAGCTTAGCTATGTTACTTTTGGCTTTATAGCCTCGGTTTCCTCCAAAATCATGTAACTAAATTATGAAAAGG